TTTGTAGTTGTGAAATATATTATACATACACAAACACATGCACACACACACACACACACACACACAATGTATGCATACATATGTATATATAAATGTAATCTACTCAGTCTGTTTACTGTTTGTGATTTCAAGGCTGACCATTTTGTACTGGATAACTATTTAGGTGGCTCATCCCTGGAGAAGATTAATTATCTCACTTTTAGCTTTCTTAATTTTCTGTACTTCTTTGTGCAGGGGCCCATGATATTCCCTCCTCTACAATAGCATATCTTTTTGGTCTTGTCCTTGTTTATATCTTGTTTAGATAGCCATAGTGTTGGGGTACCATAGATAAAGTTTACCCGTCACTTCCAGGGTATGGATTCTCATAGCAGATTAGTATTTTATACAGAAATACTAAATATATTCATCTCTACCCTTTACTCTCCACCATCCACTTCCTCTTGTATCTTCTTTACTTCTTCTGAAGTTCATGACCTTCTTTTCTATAACTATTGTTCTCTCTCTCTCTCTCTCTCTCTCTCACACACACACACACACACACACACACACACACACACATATATATATATATATATATATATATATATATATATATATAGTTTGCTTTAATGTTGTTGTTTTAAAATACTGACCAAAAGCAACTTTGGGAGGAAAGCTTTTATTTTATCTTGTGCTTGCAGGTCACAACCAAAGTCAGGTCAGGAACTTAAGCAAGAACAGAAACAAGAAATGTGGAGAAAAGCTTATTACTGGCTTGCTTCCAAGTTGGCATCCAACTACCAGATGCATATGTCCAGTGATATTATTGCATACAATAGCAGGGCGAATTGCCCCATATCAACAAACAATCAAGAAAATGTCTCATAGACGTGCTTACCAGGTGATCTGGTGGAGGGAATTCAACTAAGGTTCCTTCTTCCAATGTGTGTCAGTGTGACAACCAAAATTAACCATCATGTTGACCATGTTATTTTATGGAGAAGTGTGGGTTATTCTAGAAGTCTGGATAAGAAAAATGGTTAAATATTCTAAACAGAGCTTAATAAGCCATTCTAGTGGGAGCCTGGGTGCTGAGAGGAATTTTCAAGACAACATAACATTGAGTCTGTGGCATGATCATTGCTAACAACTCTATGCAGATCTAAACTGAAAAAGGTGGAAGTAGGATATACATAAAAACAGTTAAAAGAAAAAAAATAATGGAAGGCTTAATGTTACAGCCAAGGAATGTCCTGCCAAAAGAGAATGTACATGTTAAGAAGTCACCTATTCTGTAAAGGAACAATGACAATGGTGCAAACTTCTAACTTTGAAAGCAGAAGGCCTGAGGGGTTGATGGCTTCAAGAAAGCAATTGCATCAATGCACAAAATCTGTTGCTAATGTGGTAGAAAGGGGCAAAGGTCCATCTTAAGTTGGCAGCCAAACATAACGGTGTAATCCATGTGGTACATGCTTTGGTTCATGAATGATGCAAGAATGAGGGTAGTTATAGATTCTTTCTTCACTGTTTCAGAGAGCTACTGAGGTCAGTCAGTACATGGAAGTGCTTGAGTTTGCTACAAGAAGGCTCTGAGAAGCAACTGAATTAGGCTGTGAAAGTGAAGTCTGTGTTCTATTAGTGATCCCTGTAAGTTGGTGATGGCAGAGACATGAGATATCTGCCAAGAAGAGCTGCATATTTAGAGTAGTACCATGCCAAGAGAGCGATGTATATTACAAGTAGCAAAGCTAGAGATGCAGAGCCATCAATGCCCCTGAAATCTAAAGTCTCAGACACTGACATGGAGTTGCAGAATTTGCAGATTACATTTGTCACATTACATTGAGTCTCAGAAGAGACTGCACTTTTAAACAGTGTTTAGACTGAAAGATGATGGGGGCATTTAAAGTAGAACTAAATGCATTTAACATTACGATATGGTCATGAATCTATGAGGAACACAGAATGGAATGTTGTGGTCTGAATGTGAACCCCCCCATTAGTCTCACATGTTTAAACACTTGGATCTGGGTGACTGTACTATTTTGGCGGAGGGTATGGACTTTTAGGTTGTGGACCCTTGCTAGAGGAACTGCACTGCTAGGGGTAGGCTTTGAAAGCTTATAGCCCCAGCCAATCTACAGTTTGTGCTCTCAGCTTGCTATTTGATTAAATGTGATCAGTAACTTTCCCACTCAGGTCACCTGCTGCTATATCTTCCTTAACATTATGGACTTTTCTTCTAGAACCATAAGTCAAAATCTTCCTCAAGTTTCTTCTGGCTGTGGTATTTTATCAAGAGAAAGCAAACTAACACACACACACACACACACACACACACACACACGTATGCATGCGTGTGCACACACACATACACACACACACACGCATGCACACACAGACATAGACACCTACCAAATCTCCATTTTTAGAAATGCTAATATAGACAGGTTTAGAGGCTAACTGCTTGTTAATGAATAACATATCAAGAGGCTCATCCTTTGAGAAAATTGATCCTCATTCCCCAGTAGCCATTGAATATAGTACTTCATCTAGCAGTGAGGCCTTGAAAAATTTCCCCCATCCATGTTGGCATGCCTGATCATTGTTGTCATTATGCAGTCATGTTGGGCAGCCATACTGTTGAGGTCCCATGGGTATAGCATCCATATTATGTCTATAAGACACTGTGTAGCAGCAAACATACTGATTCTCTGGTTCTTAGACTCTTTCCACCCCCTTTTCCACAGTGTTCCCTGGCTCTTAGGTATGGGTTTGTGCTGTAGATTAATCTGTTTAGGTTGAATATTCTACATTCACTTATTCTCTGCATATTTATCACTTCTGGATTTCTGCAGTAGTTTTCATATTTGCTAAAAATGTGTTTCTTTGATGAGGGAAAGAGCTATATTTACTTGTGTGTATAAGGACAAGGATAGGATTATCATGCAGTTAGAAATTATAGTGCTTTGAGGGAAACATTAGAAGTAGGTTCTCTAAGGTCTATGACCTCTCCATCCAGGAGACATTAGCTAGGTTTACGATATCTGGCACGAATTCCCTCCTATTGAATGAGCCTTAAGTATTATTAAACACTTGTTGATTACTTCAAAGACAAAGTACTACTATTGCATCACTAGCAGGCTGATTACTGGTGTGATTCATAGGCTTTACAACTGATCAGGACTATTGATTGCTTTTCTCCCCTGGCAACTTGCACAGCACCTCAGATACTATGAGAGCTAGTTTTCAGGGAGGTTTCCTGCTCCTTTCCAGCTCAATTCCTCTATGTCCTGTGTCGTACATGTTCAGTATCTTTAGCAATAAGGCCTTACATTGAAGCTCTAAGAGGCAACCATGGGCAGTGGCAATAGCCTATGTTGTTTGGGGGGATGTCTTGCATTTTCACTGAATTTCCTAGGATTTGGTGAGGTCATAACAGTGTGGATGTTACTACCATTTCCATTTACACATGAGGAACAGAAGTTGTAGAGTTTATGTACTTTGCCCAGGATCACAAAATACTGTAAGTAACAGAACCAATATTGTAAACTAATTACAGTGAAATGAAACATCGTGTCAAAAATGAACTTTTTTCTGTATCAAAAGTCATGACCTATCTCTGGGTTTCCAATTCCTTATACACAAAGGGCAAAGTAAGCATTGTAATTTTAAAAAGGAAGTGCGAGAGAAAAAGATGCCATGAGACAGAGTTCAAGTAGAGGCTTCTTTTAATTGGGAAAAGGGATCATAAAAGGGGAAATAGAATGGGGGAGACTGGTCTCCAGGGACAAGAGCAGTGGTGGAGAGGAAAGAAAGGCTCAGAGACAGACAGGGAAAAGGAGAAAAAAAAAGAGAAGGATAGGAAGTAGGCAGGGCCCTTTGAAAAGTGAAAGTGCACAGGTGGTGCTCTTAGTGGTTGTAGCTGACAGAACCCCAAAGACAGACCAGTACAAATGCCTAAATACTAACAATAAGTATTATAGAAAACCTATTCAACCTGCCTACTAATGTGTCTAATAAGAAAATAGAAAATGATAAACATATGGCTAAGTATATTTATTTATTTTAATATAGAAGCACATATACATAGTGCTAATACATTTGTTGCTATTTTCCTATTAGTGAAAGATTGGAGATATTATTTGGTTACTACATAATTAATTCTCATTGTGATATCTGTGTTCCAAATTCTAGTATTGGTGCTTGAATACATGATGTCAAGAATAAATCTACTTTGTTGGGTGAAAATAAAATAGCATACATAGACAGTGGGGGTTCGGGGGACACAAATATCATATTTTCTTGAGGAATACAGACAAAAAAAAAGACAGGTTACCCAGGAAATTTCCATGAGACCAAGCAGCATGCAATATTTGAAAGGAATATTAAAAATAACAAATATAATACACAGTGCAAATGAGTTATCCCTCTATCAATACCTTATGAATTAGAACAATGATATCTGCTAGAGAGGATGTGGCTTACATGAGAAAATTCATTTCTCTCTATTCTGCTGTTGAATGCACGTTTGGTAACAAACATCACATCTCTAGATAAAAGCATCAAAACTTCATTAAAGCTAGCAGCAGCTATAATCACAGATTCATTTTGAATGTGTAGAAAGAGCAGATGTTAATGTGAAGCTCATATACAAGCCACATCATTTGCATGTTCATTGATCATACTATTGTAATACTATAATGTGAAGAGTTGACTTATATTGCAGCTGTTGTCCAAAGGCATTTGTAATCCCAGTCAAATTTTCTAGAGTTAGCTAATTGATGAGTAGCTTTGTAGTGACTTACTAACATTGATCCTTCCTCTAGTCTTAGATAACAATAACTCATTCGCTATCTGCATGTTTGGTCATAGCATTAGCCTCTTCCACAGCCAATGCAGTCCTGAGAAGGTCCACTTTTATCCCTTGCACAAAAGACGTAAAGTACAAGCCCACAGCAAGTACATCAAGCTACGTTAAATGTTTATTTCCCATTATAGTATGCAGACACTCAATGACCTCTTCGCCAGTTACTCTTTCACTGGGTTAACAACTTTCCCTAAAAAGAGAATGCTTCTGGTCCCTTTCTCCAAAGTCATCAATAAGAATGGTCTATCAAATTGGATAATAGGGTGAAGAAGAGCCACTTGTGGCCTATCCAGAGACACAGCTCCTTCTTTGGTTCCCTCTTCTCCAATGTGCAGCACAGCCTCGTGAAAAGCCTGGGGAGAAGAACACACACTGAAGGTCCACTTAAAAAGTGTCAACTGCCTTTGGGTGTGTTAAATGTACAAAAAACTAAATACAGTATATTGTGTTGATGGTACATGAATGTTAATATTACTACGATAAGTATAGTTAATGAATTTATGTGATTTTAGGACTACTTGTTTGGATAGTATCTCATTCTCCATCACTTCTATCTTTAGAAGTTATCTCTTTTTTACCTTTCTCACTGTATCACTGTATCACACAAGAGTCACTTCTGATCATTAAGACTTTCATTTTATTAGAGTCATCTTAGTATATATGAGGGTTAGGGATGAAAATCACATTTATTTATTTATTTATTTATTATTTATTTATTTATTTATTTATTTATTTATTTATATATTTGGGTGTCAAGCCTGCATGTTTGTTTTACATCACATGCTTGCCTTGTACCTGCAGAGACCAAAAGAGGATCTCAAATTTCATGGGACTGAAGTCACAGACAGTTAGGATCTGGCATGTTATCTTGATGGTAGAAACTAAACCTGAGTCTTCTGGAAGAGCAAACAGTTCTCTTATCTGCAAAGCTATTGCTCCAGCTCCAGAAACAACTTCTAAAATGACTTATTTTGAGTAACAAGAATGACTCTCATATGATACTGACATAACAGAATCACACTGCCACTGCAGATATGAGATTTCTCATTGACTAAATAAAATGGGTGAATTAATTGACTCTTACTGTCCTTTCCAGCTTATACAGAAAAAAAATCTACCAACTTACATAAGAAAGTTTTAGACCACTGTCTTCTGTGATTCCAGGAAAGTTAGCACTTTCAGCAAAGGCATCGCTCATGCCCATCTTCTGAAGTGTGCTTCCATGGTCATATGTTGCAGAAATTGAAAACTTTGGAACAAACAACTCAATCTGTCTGTATGGGATAAGGAAAGGGAGACATGACAGTCACTACACTAATCATCTAATCATGCTAATCTCTCTCTGTGTGTCTCTCTGTCTCTCTCTCTGTATCTCTCTGTCTCTCTCTCTCATTTAACATTGCTACAACCATTAATGTGGCACCAGAAGCACAGAAGGCATTGCTGTAAAAATGGTCTCTGACTCAGAAAATGTTGGATGGCAACACACAGTACCCGCTCCCTTATTATAAGAAAGATGCATCTCTGTGGTATTGAACAAGTCCAGGGGTCTAATGGAATGAAGATCCAAGTGTAGTGCACAGGAAATTTCATTGTTGTCTGTCTTGCAGTTCTAGCTAATAATGACTGCCAACTCCATGCCAACATCAAACCTTGTCCATCCCAAAGCTTTATCTTGTCCCTGAAAAAGATATCAGCATCCTAGCATCCTCACTCTGGGGAACTTTATGGGAATTTCTAATATGGCAAAAGTCCAAAATACTACCTCCTTTGGCATTTTCTCAATATGCTTAGATGAAAAACTATGAAAAGTGTCCAGAAAAGTGCCAGACACCTTGTACTAGGTATAATCTAAATATTATCATACCCCTGCCAAGTGTTTCTGGGCAATTTTCCTACCTCTAGATTTCTTCTGAACTCAGGCTCACCTCCATTGTTAGACCCACCCACAGCCCCTCATGCCCTGTAAATTGTTTACCCTTTCTGCAGTAAGCGGTTCCACTTCTTCAGTGTCTTAGATGACATGGCTGCCTCCACCCACTCCAGGTGTTCCTTCTTTGGAAGGACAAAAAGTGCCAGGGCATTCTCACTATTTGAAGCTCCATTTGAAGCACTGTGCAATTCAGCTCTATATCCACAAAATGATAGTATTGTTCTAGCTGGTGCATCATGGGAACCTGTACTGAGGTGGCATTGTCCACTGAGAAGTTGGAACTCTCTTCTGTTCTAGATACACAAAAAGGATTTGCCCACTGGGCTTAAAACAAAAAGAGGAGAGATGTTTCTTTGAAAGCATTAGTCATTCATATAATAATTAAGAATGCCTACTGTCAACCAGTTTTCCAAGTGATTACAAATGACTCACTAAGGATCAGAGAAACAAGATCAGCTGACATGATCATCCAGCTACCACATGGCAAAAACAGAGGTCCTTGCCAATGCTGCTGGACTTTACAATATATTTTTAGAAACACTCTACTTTCTACACCCACCAGAAACAATTTCAATTCCATGAAAAAGTATATGAGTGTACAGAAAAATAGGTGAAATGAGATTTAAAAAAAAGTGTTCTGTCATTTTAAGCATACATAGGTGTTTGGCTTATGCAAAAAAATTCACTCATCCAAACAGAAAAGACAGGTTCTATGAAACCAAGCCTTGCTGGAAAGGGTAGCACTAAAAATTATCAATGTTATACATTTGGATACTTGTAGCACAGTCTTTAGTGCATAGTGAGTACTTAACATGTAATAAAAGGTATTTATGCAATGTATCCAAATATGCACAGGAAATAGGAACCACATTGTGCTTAAATACAAATTCAGTTGACTTGCTAAATACAGGCTTTCGCACCTCACTAAATATTTTAGAAACTGTAATTATTTACCCTGATATGATCAGAACATTCATAATATTGTCAACTGCATCTTTAAAAGTATTATTTCCATAGAAATTTCCTGGGCTCATAAACAGAGCTGTGTGTCATCCTGGAATGATCCAACACAATGCATAGATATAGACAGTAGTGAAAAATCATTGTGGCATGAGGGACTCCTACTGATGCCAATGATAAGAGACCTTAACCCCCCCACACACACACACATATCTCTTTATCTTAACACTAGATTGGAAATTGATATCTTAATGCCTTACCTTTGAAATGAATATACTTCACCAGAATCATTATAATGTTCAGGCTAAGATCTTGAATTAAGCCTATAATTTTCCCTTTTGTTTGCTTCTCCACATAACTGTTGATCTCCTTCTGGGCTGCTGAAACATTGGAGAAGTCAGTAGGAAAGACTTCAGTTTCATAGAGGGTCTTGACATCATCCAAAAACTTTGCCAGTGGTTTCAGATGCTTCCCAATGAAAATTGCATTTCCCATCTGCAATTCCAGATCATTCTTTGGGAAATTCAATGAACAGATCAAATGCTGGAAGCCCTGATGTAATTCTGTCATTGGAGTATCTGTGAGGTTAAAACCCAAGACCTCCAAGAATCTGAGTTTGGGTGCTAGAGCCAGATCCAAAAGAAAGCATGGCTAAAGCAGCAGATATGCTCACGGGGAAAAGAAGATGTTCCAATCTGGGTTCTCTGCAGAGAACCAACGATATAGACTGAATGCAAAATCAGCATTGATAGATGACAACTTATAGAGAGTGGGATTTTGTTGGGGCAAATGGCAGGTCCTTACTTTGCCTTCAGAGCTGTTATATTGTGAACAATAGATTGCATCCTGAAGCCCAAATGCCAAGAGAAACCAACAGAGGAACACTGACATTCTGGAATGAAGATGATCTACAAAACATGAAGTGAGATAACCATTGGGAGAACTTAGATAGATAAAACACTTTCTGGTCCTGAGAAATATAAAAGTCACCTACCTTGATTTACAAAACTAAAGAAATTATTTGAAGATTTGTTCAGGGAAGAATAAGGGATGGTAGTTCTCTTTTCTCTAAAGACCAGTGACATGTCTACTAGGGAAAGAGAGTAGGAGAAATGGCTTTTCTAGGGAAGAGAAATACAATGTTATGAATTCATTAGCATGTGGTAATAGCATGTGAAAATACTGATGCTAATTTAAACTCATGGAAATTGATTCACTTGTCATTTGCATGAAGGACAACTTTATGGGTATAAAGAGTCATATCACAATGTTGCATGTACATGACAATTTTGGTCTGTGTATGTGTGTATATTAAATTGATGTTTTCTTAAGGTAGCATTGTGATATGACAAAATGAGAACAAGTCCTACAAGAAATGTTTAGTTAGAATGGAAGGGTAATGGTTGATCAAGTTATGTATAACATAACAAACCAAAATTCATGCACTTGAGAAATATATGGATGCCACAAGAGGATTTTCAAAGGATAGGAAAATGAAAGTATAACATTCTTGTTTTAGAGACGTCTTTATTTCACTGCCACCTGTAGAGCCATTTCTCACTTTTAATAGATCTTAACTATCTTACTCTTATAAGTATGTGGCATGTCCTTTTGTAACAATTAGAGAGGAAGCCCTAAAGTTTCTAAGCATGTAATAGTACAAAGAAATAGGGAGCATGATGTAGAGTCAAACACCAGGGGTTAGAAAAAAAAAAGAGACATTCATGGAGTCAGTATAGGAACCCTCCTTCAGCTTTTCATTTTCTTCATGAGTGTCTCATTTAAGGAACTAAATATCCTTCTAGTCCATACTATCGCACTGAATTGTTACTCATCTAACCAGCTGCTACTGGACATATACACTCTGTTAGTCTCCACTGGAAAATCCCATTTCCAAATGTAAACACATTCTATCTCAACTCCCCAAACCCACTTCTTCATTTTCATTCCATATTCCAATATATTGCACCCCTGTTTATAGACAGACCCATATCAAAGGGACTTGCTTCATTTTTATTCTCCACTTCTAATGGTCATGCTGATCAATGAATACTGCCTGAATACTTATCAAAACTTTTCTTTTCTCTCCATCTCCAATGGCCATTGCCTAAGCTTAAGGCTTTAATGACTTTATAAGCTTCTAGCATGACAGAGGGCCTCTTATCCCCTTTAGCCTTCCTTCATCCACTTTTAGATCCAATTTCCACACTATCACCAGAGTACTCTTCCTGTCAAAATCATCAAGGAAGGCTAGAAGGTCAGTTACAGGAGGACCACTCTTAGAACTTGCCTCCTGATTAAAACTCAGTTATTTGGAACTCTGACTTAGAAATGTTCAGTGTTCCCAAGGAAAAAACTACTTACAGCACACGCCCAAGAAGCCACTTGCATCTCTCAGATAGCAACACCTTCTCATCTTTATAACATGCCCTCTATTGCAAAACTAGAGCATTCTTAGTTAGAAATTAACCATTATATGAATGTTGCAATAACATTTCCAGAATTGATGCACTACCAAAGCCAAGTGGAAAAAATGCTTTAAAAAAATATGGTTTTTACTCTGGATAAAACTTTAGCTAATACTTTGGCTTCTACATACATTCCCTCATTTAAAACAGTTGGTACTATCAATGACAAATAGTGCCAGAACAGAATGAGTTTTGAGAAACTCACTGACTCTTGCTAATTGGTGCTATAGAATGGTTTATGCATAGGTGGAGAAAATGCTCTCAAATCCTACAATTTTAATACACAAAAGGAAACTAGTCATGTCTTCTGATCAGTAAAGTCCACTATATTGTCCACTAAACCAGGAACTCCAGAAATGGTACAGAAGAGGCCAAAAAATATGGAATAAAAACAAACATTTTATACCTGATAGGCTATATACAAAGAGGCAGTAGAAGCTGGGTGGTGTTGGTGCACATCTGTAATCCCAGCACTTGGGAACCAGAGGCAGGTAGATCTCTGTATATTGAGGCTAGCCTGGTCTACAAAGCAAGTTCCAAGACAGCTAGAGCTGTTACACAAAGAAACCCTGCCTCAAAAGGCAAAACAAAAAAGGAAGAAGAAACAAAAATAATTAGATTTCATCAAGAAACTCCAGTTGGACTCTGTCAATTTTTAGGTAGTTTAATAGTAGGAATGGTAACTCCTCCTTGTAAGGAGTATGGTTTTTCCTACCGCTGCTGGTCTTGTCCCGCTGCTGCGCCAGCCCTAAATAATACACTGAGACTCTGTATTTGATATGATGCTGTTGGCCTGGTACTTGTTTCTTATCGGCTACCTCTGTCTTAAGTATTAACCCATTTCTGTTGATCTATGTATTTTCACGTGGTCTCCTTACCAGGGAGCCAGCTGGCATTCTGCTTTCTCCAGACTCTCCATCTTGACTCTTTTATTATTCTGTTTCTTTTCTATTTTTTGAGACAGGGTTTGTCTGTGTAACTCTTGGACATGCAGTCCTATGTGTTGCAGGAGACAAATATAGAAGACTGCTAAACCTTGCCAAGTCAGGGTAAGACAGCCTTTCTACTTCCCTGCTGTTGTTGTGGTCTGTCAAGTACTCTTGGCCTTGGCCAAAATTGGGTGTACCAACATTGCTGTGAGACCTAGGGTGATTGTCCAGGTAGCTTGCTGTTTCTGTCCTGGCTGCACCTTTTGGAAGTTGCCCATCCGCACTTCCTGTCTACCCTAGTATCGTTATTTTCCTTCTCAGGTCTTGATGAGGTTGAAGATTAAACTATCACAACTATTATTCTCTCTTCCTAGTTAGATATATTAGGTACGAGACTTAAGTTTTCCAGCTTAGGACAACTCTATTGTAAACTCCATTTTGCCTTCACCCTAGGACTAGATATGTAGGTCGTTTTGTTTTCACTTTTCCTTTTCTTAGAGCACACTTCTTATTTATGGTTTTGTATATAGTTTTGTATCAAGCCTAAATCTTTTCTTTAGACTAAAAGGGGAATTGTAGTGGGATAGTCACTTTGTCTCCTTCTGTGGCACTGACCACGCCCATTGGGGGTGGAGCCAGGGGCAGAAGTGACCTGTGGAACTAGGTCTGAGGAGGAGCCCGGGAATGTGCTCTCTTGCTGGCAGGACACGGACAGGAGAGCATCCAGTGGAACTTGCTGGTGTTCATCTGTCTAGGTTGTAAGTTATTTCTCCCTGAATAAACATCTATTTGGCCAATGTGTTTATCCTGATCCTTATTTAACCGCAATAATTCTGCACTGAAGTAATCTGGTCTGGGCTTTTTTTTTTTGGGGGGGGGGGTTTGGAGACTTTTGATGACTGCATCTATTTCATTAGGTGTTATAGGTCTGTTTAAATTGGTTATCTGTTCTTGATTTAATTTTGATAAGTGTTATCTGTCCAGAAAATTGTGGAGCCTGAGCCAGAGGCCCACACTCATCTCTCACCTAAGTGTGGGGCAGGACTATGTTATGAGTTATTTCTCCCTGAATAAACATCTATTCGGCCTATTTGTTTATCCTGATCCTTATTTAACTGCAATACCTCCTCATATTTGATCAAGCACATGAGATGACACAAAGCACATGACTCTCCAAACAGCTGCCCTAAGAACTACATTAAGAATCAATGTATTTAGTCAGCAGCATAGATCGTGGGTATCCACACAGTTTGCACTGAATCCGTGTAGATGTCCATGGGCTAGGCTGCCACTGGAGACCACAGTAGTGTCCATTACCCATGTTTCCCTGGAGGCCATGTTGATGTCTGTGGTCTGTGCTGCTGCCAAGGGCTATGATGGTGTCCATGGCCTGTGATATAGCAGAGGGCTGTGTTGATGTCTGTGGTCTATACTGTCACTGGAGACTGTGCTGAGGTCCAATTGGTTCATGCAGATGCTGAAGGCCATGTGAATGTCTGTGCTGCTGACCACGTAGATGTCAGTGATCTGTGCTCCTGCTGTCTGTAAAGGGCAAGGAATTTTCTTTTGCAATGGTATTGATGGCTGCAGACTCACATTTGAGAAAGACATATAAGGCTTCTGTGAAAACCTCTACCCCCACCTCGTGCTACCTCAAAAAAATGTAGCAGCCTAGACAGGAAGCCATTGAAGAGAACTATTTAAAATGTGATAATGATGGCTTCTGGCAAGGGTCAGGGTGGGGAAATACTCAGTTTTCCTTAAGGGGCTGGCCACTGAGTGTTTGACCATATGATCAATACAAATTGACTTGTCTTTTTCTTTCTTTCTTGGGGGGGTTGTAACAAGGGTAAGAGGGCAGATCTGGGAAGAATGGCAAGTGAGTGTGATGAGGTGCATGTTGTGAAATTCCAAAATAATCAAGAAAAATATTATATTGAATAAAGAACAATATGTTAATCAAGGGAGTTGTGAAAGTAACTGGGTCTAGTTCAACTTAATCTTACATATAGTCTATGAAAGGACTTGAAATACAAGATACAATAGACATACTCTAACTGAATTCCATTGGAAAGACAGTGGGTAATTTTTGAAAAGGGGGGAGTACAGTAAGGGTGACTATACTGTGCCACTATTTCTTTCCAAACAAATAAAGTGCTACTGTATACAAAACAGCATATTCAGCACTGGGATTTCAAAGGTGAATGCAGCATATCCATCCTCCATCAAAGTGGCCTTTGTGATCTCATTGCACCACTGCCCAAACTCAATAGGTAAGGTCACACAGCTCACAAATAGGATGGTCACTGGCACATGTGTCAAGCTTGGGTCTCATGACTACCTGATTAGTTCAAACTCAACCCTGATAATAAAACTATACACTCTCTGTTTTCTCAAATGCGATAAGCTCCAGAAAACTCTTGCAGAAGAAACAAAAAGTTAAAAAAATAATAAAAGAAAGAATAGAAAAGAAAAACCTTCAAATCTATGCCCTCTGGTTACA